GGATTATAAGTGTGTGTGTGTGTGTGTGTTCACATATATGATGAGATGAGTTATTTTCATATTTTTCTTTTGTTTTTATGATAGAGAAAAGATGAAGAAGATGCCCAGTCTATAAGTGCAAAGGACTCTGTGGATTCTAATGCCGGCGACTTAACTGAGAGAGTCTCTTCAGATTCAAAGTGCTGCCTGACCTGTTTTTGTGTAAATGTAGCAAATTTAGGACCAAAAGAGGAAGAGAAGAAGAAGAAGAAAGTGAATTCTGTTTAATTTGAATGAAAAGATCAATAAAATTAATATGATTTAACACTGTCTCTTTTTTTAAAACAAGGGTGTGTGGGGAGGGGGGCAAACTGACTGCTCCTTCTGGCTTGTAAATTTCCACTTTGGCTGTAGCAACAGAGGGCTGGACTCTGGTTCCCTGTGCTTCAACAGCTAAGAGAAGGCCCCCATTCTGTCACCCCCCCCGCCCACACCCTTGTTTTAAAAAAAGAGACAGCGTTAAATCATAGTAATTTTATTGATCTTTTCATTCAAATTAAACAGAATTCGCTTTCTTCTTCTTCTCTTCCTGTTTTGGTCCTGAATTTGCTACATTTGCGGGACTAAGAACCAAAAAGGGGCGGGGCACCTGTCACTTTTGAGTTTGACGAAAGTATACCCCTTATACTACTAACCTTTCCCCTTTAAGGGCCGAGGGACTTCAGCTCCCAGAAGCCTCAGCCATGTTGGCCAATAGTCCCATGTTAGCCAATAGCTCCTGGGATTCTGGGAGCTGAAGTCCCTCGGCCCTTAAAGGGGAAAGGTTGCCTACCCCTGATCAAAAATATCCCCTCCCACATCTCTAAGTAGACCACAAAAGTCATGTTATCTGTATAAGCACAAGATATTTTTCTTTAGGAAATATTTTAACTACATATGAATAGTTTTGTTCTGTACTAAGCTATAGTCTACATTGATTTAAATTGATATACTGATTTGCAAGCCCAAGTCTACTTAACAACAAAAGATTAGATTAATCTCAACAACATACGGAACAGTCTTCTTATAAACGTAGAGCACAAAGTTCATATACACTAAAGTAGTATGAAACTGATAAAGTATCACTAGTACTATAACTCTTACATGACTAGGGAGTAGGGACTTTGATTCCAGTGAAGAAAAGAGAGCCAGCGTGGCATAGTGGTTTGAGTACTGTACTATGACTCTGGAGACTAGGGTTTGATTCCCAGCTCAGCCATGAAACCCACTGCATGACCTTGGGCAGTCACACTCTCTCAACCTCAGAGGAAGGCACTGGCAAATCTCCTCTGAAGAAATCTTGCCAAGGAAACTCCATGATCAGGTCTCCTTAAGTCAGAAATTACTTGAAAGCACACATCAACAACAACAGGAAAAGTGCAGTAAGAAGTAGATCTGTTTTTTCTTCTGACCATCTCTATGTACAGAATGTCCACAAACCTCCATGCAGATATTGGCTCCCCTCAGGGAACCTACCATGAGTATCTGTCTTGGACGACTTTCGCCCTGCGAGTCTCTTAGTGAGATAAGGGGAAAGTAAAGGAACTACCATTTGCACCACATTACAGCCCCTAAGAACAGGGAAGCATTCAGGCACATGTACTTAAACTTTTAATGAATCATTCTGAAGCAAAAAGGAGGCAAGGTTACATGTCTGTCCTAACCAAAGCACAGTTATGGTGAGAAATGAGTAATGTTCCAATCAACTTCTGGGAAGGGGAGACCCCAATACTATTTTGTTAGAGCTCACAGTATAGGTCAATGTACCCCACACAAGAAAGCCTGATCCTCGGTCTAAATTTTGTTATAGCCATAAGGGTTCTTATGTTTATACAGTGTTTATACCCTTGTAATACACAACTTCACCAGTATTGTCTGGTGGTATTTGGTGGTCTATATAAGGACTAAGAGAGACCTTACTTTATCTCTCAAACTGAAGGTTTACTGAGCCTCCAACTACTCATAGAACCGATGCCTCAATCCTCAAGCTTATGAAAATAAAACCAGGACATTGTTTCTGAAATACTGCTTTGTTTTTACTGTGCCTCTACACAATTCTGCCATTGTACCCAAAAGCTGGCATTAAATCTCTTTATTGTTCCCAGCTCTGGCCAGGCAAACTCACACTTATCCAGACCTCTACAACTGACACCCAGTACAAGTATAATCGGCAACAGGGGACCCGACACCACTTGGTCTGGAATTTCAGAATTGGCAGGCTGAGAGTACAATCAGCTGCACCAAGTAACAGATGCTTTGCATTTGTGCAGCAAAACAAATACTCCATTCATGTAAGGCTGTACCTGTGTAGAATCCATGCAGAGCTCACGACAATCCTAAAACACAACTTTCCTTGGGCTCCTCTGACAGCTCCATCTTTTACTCTGTATACACAGCTGTAAACTATGCAGCTGAAATCCTTCAAACTGAAACAAGAAAAAGTGATGACTCTGCAGATCAGAACCATCCATATTAAGCTCAAGAGTGGTCATAACCGACTTTCTGAGATGCATGTACATACACATAAGCTACAGCAAAGCTATGCCCATATATTCTTCATTCCTCCTGAATACACAGGGAAACATAAGTCAATGCTCTATGCATGGCCACAGCTACACTGGGAGTACATGCCTTTTCTACTGCTATTTCAACAATTTAGATTAAAAACACAGGCAAAGGGTGGAGGAAGCCCTACCACATTGAGTTCTCTAAGCCTTTAAGCAAATTTTCCAAGATGTTCTCACAGAAGAAAAGACAATGAGTGACTAAAAATAAATACTGTAGTTGCTGACAACAGTGACTTCAGAAATGGTGCATTTGAACTGGCGCCTAAAACATAACTCCGTTACTACGGAACAAGCCTTCTGGCTTTAATAAAACTTACTTTGAGCCTTTACAGACTGACAGAAATAGTGCAACTTGAGGCCACTTTAACTATCCTGGCTCAGTGCTAGGGAATCATGGGAACTGTATTTTTTTTCTAGGACATTGAACCTTCTCTGTCAGAGAGCTCTGGTGCTACAGTTCCCATAATTCCTTAGCACTGAGCCAGGGCAGTTAAAGTGGCCTCAAGCTGCACTATTTCTGGCAGTCTGTAAAGGCCCTTTGTGTATGTAACTTCTAGCTTTAAAGCATTTCATAGTTTTGCCCATACTTATTGGTGAATCATTTCAAATACCTAGAGCAATTGTTAAAACCCAGGCTACATAACATTTGCCATTAAAGGAGTGTCTATTTTTGGTATAAATTGGAATAGGAAATGGGACATACAAACTTTAAAGTATTTTTAACCACTTAATAGCCAATAGACATTACTTCCTAGAAACTATGTATTATTTTATCACAAGTATTAGATATCAAAAAATAAAAAATAGTAAATGAAACCAAAATGCACTATGAACAAGTGTAGAAAACAAAACAAAACAAAAAGCCTAGAATGAATATAACCAATGTACCCAATATTCCTAGTCATTTATTCATCATATCTTCTCTAGAGGTAACAAAAGTCGAAAATAGGGCACTCAATCTTTTTGAACACCCCCCCCCCCGCAACAGCAATCCAACATAGAAATAAAGCTCATGTTTTTGCTGCACAGCTTCAGATTCAATGCAGTCTGGAGTTTAATTAAGAGAAAGCCAGGAAAATAAGTATGGTGTTTAGTTGACAGGAAGCTGAGAAGAGGAACTATCACAAAGATTGTACTGAAAAGTCGAGCTGACTCACAGCCAAAACAAAACACGAAGCCTTTTAAAAATAATGTCACATACGCTCCTGGAACTACGCTCTATATACTAATGAAGAACTGCATGTTTTTACTGCAATAAATGATAAAGCAACAGTAAGTAAGCAGGCATCATACTAATTTATTTAAAATAATATGGGACATTACAAGATGGAGAACAAAACCATAATTTGTAGAGCCCCCCTCCATCTCAGCTCATGATGCCCATTTCCACTGTAAAATACTGAAATTATAAAAATTATAAAAGGCCGAAAAAACAACAATATACACTCCTCTTTCTTTCTAGGTCGGGTGGGTGGGGGATATAACTTTGTCAAATAGGTCAGAACAGTGGTAACTGAATCAGAGGATGTTAAGAAGTGGGAATGCTGAGAAGAGCCACAGAAATGTTAAACCAAAAACTTAAATGCTAGGACAACCACTTCAATAATAAGGGCACCAGCTTCCTTTCTTTTTAATGAGGGGGGTCTCCTTTTAATAAGGAAGAGACTCCTTTTAATGGGGGGATCCTTTTAATAAGGGCAAGAATCCTTTTAATAAGAGAGACTCTCATTTAATTAGGGGACTCCTTTTAATGGGGGGATCCTTTTAATAAAGGGGACTGCCTTTGATGGGGGATCCTTTTAATAAGGGGGACTCCTTCTAATGGAGGGATCCTTTTAATAGGGGGACTTCTTTTAATGGGGATACTTTTAATAAGGAGAGGCTCATTTTAATGGGGATCCTTTAAATAAGGGG